CCACTCGTTTCACACGAATTGTTTTGATCCCTTTGCTCACGACATTTTTTGCACACCAACATTTACCTGAAAAATTTTATTTAATAAATAAAAATAGACATGCAGGGTCGTATTACTATATGTAGCAGGAGAGTGATGTATAACAAAGTCATTCGATCTGCATAAGAAACAGACCATGACAAGCTACATCCATTAACGATGAACGTAGCCACGGAATAAAACTGAAAAACAGTTTAATTTCTATTTTTTTAGACTAAAAAGCCAACGACTTAATCATTTGATCTTGCTAAACTTGACTCTTTAGTGAGGAAATCCATGTTTCTGATACAGCAATGTTACCAATGTACGTAGGTCTGCAGTTTTGCATACGCAATAGATATGTAAAAAAATACAAGTATACCTTTTTCTACCTTAGGCTTTTGCAAATTAACTCTTCTTCAACAGTAAACTTTTTTATGAAAATACGTATGTAAAGGCAAATGTAAAATATATAGATTACCTTCAAGTGGACAAAATTCACTGAACATCCTGAATCGTTCCAAAAGATAATTTTTCTCTTCGATGCAACCATTAGTTAAAGACAAATTTCCGCACCTTTCTTCCGATTGATTTTTTTCTTGAACAAACACATTCCATTTATGTTCACAAAATTCAAACTTTTTGTTCCATCCCCATTTAACGGCACATTTAAGAGTCACGGCCAGCATCAACCACAAGATGACAACAAAACGCATCATTTTTTATCCTTAAAACTGCAATTGTATGAAAAATCATAGCTGCACAAGTTCGATGATAGAACACTGAAAACATACAACTATTATTATCGTAAATATCAAAATATCGAAGCATTTGGTTTATATTTGGTTTATCTGTTTTTTATTTGCTGATAGACGAAAACTTTAAATGCAAACCGCAACGCAGAAATTATATACGTCAATCCATACACATCTCCTTGTATCTCTCTTACAAGCGTGGAAATTAAGCCTCTTTTTTAGAATTTATTGGTTTTACAGCACACAAAAAAGTGGATTAGGAAATTGTTCTTGGAAATGAATAAGAAATTTGGGTAGTAAACATTTTTGTAATGAATCATATCTTCGTCATGAATTTTTTGCTGTAGATCATGTTTGTTTATGCATACAGTATCATCTATTATATGGTAGGAAAATATCAAAAATTGATGTTGTTATTTATTTTTTATAAGTCGTCCGCCGTGTCTTTTAACGAGGGACAACATGAAGAAAATTAACCAGTCAGCTTAAAGCTTTTTTTTATACTTTGCTTACTAAATATTTATCTATTTCTAAATCTTATGTATGAATAGGAGTAACAAAACATATTTTCTAAATTTTAGATAGAAACGGAGTTTTTTTTCATAAACGTTTTAAAACTGTTTATTCCGTCGAAAAATTACGAATACAAATATCTAATTACAAAAACAAAAAAGTAGCACGGATCTGCTGATAACAACTGAAGTAGAATTACATTTGCCTATGCTTTAATCTTAAGTTTGATCATAAAAATGTTCTGTCCTTATAAGAAACAAGCCCAAATAATGTCTTCTAGGTGAATGATTCTCTTTAAACGACTGCACCCTTACATTCTTTCATTGTTTACAAAAAATCCATGTCGATGTTGCCTTCGTAGCTTCAAGCAAAAACGTAAGATGCAGAAACAGAATATAGAGCTTATAGCAATTTAACCATCATGAATTTCAATGCTACAGCATTAATGTTTCATCTAAACTGGAAATCTAATCATAAATTATCATATCTTAATATCTACTTACCTTTTGTCTTCAGACAATTTCCCAACGATAATGAAGCTAATTTAACGATTAGGTGATACACCAATAATCATTAAACATTTAACATACACGACAAATTTCTTTATAGAGCAATTATGTTTAGGCATACTTTATGAGTATTGTGCTCCTACGAAATTATACACCAATTATGTTGAAAAGCAAGCGTTCAATATTAATCTTGCAGCATGTGCTTCCATCTGTTCCGTTGATATGTTCATTGCAATTCAATTTTAGAAAAATATTTCTCAACTAATAAAGGAGAATTTTACAAAAACGATCCACGATGTGTAGCTTTTATAGTTTTCAAATTTAGTTCGTAGCTTCAAGCAAAAACTTAAGATGCAGAAACAGAATATAGAGCTTATAGCAATTTAACCATCATGAATTTCAATGCTACAGCATTAATATTTCATCTAAACTGGAAATCTAATCATAAATTATCATATCTTAATATCTACTTACCTTTTGTCTTCAGACAATTTCCCAACGATAATGAAGCCAATTTAACGATTCGGTGATACACCAATAATCATTAAACATTTAAAATACAAGACAAATTTCTTTAGAGCAAACATGTGTAGGCATACTTTATGAGTATTGTGCTCCTACGAAATTATACACCAATAATGTTGAAAAGCAAGCGTTCAATATTAATCTTGCAGCATGTGCTTCCATCTGTTCCGTTGATATGTCCATTGCAATTCAATTTTAGTAAAATATTTCTCAACTAATAAAGGAGAATTTTACAAATATGATCCACGATGTAACTTTTATAGTTTTCACATTTTCTCAATCACCTATAACTTGATGAAATGTTACAAGTATAGAAAAATTTTCTGTCCTCTATTCAAAATTCTTTACCTATATTGGTTTTTGCGACCCCCCCGCCCTCCTCCAACAAAAAAAATTGACAGCGCGCCATTGCACCATATGCTTGCCCTAGTGATGAATGATAGCTTCTACGATAAACGATAAGAGCACAATGGAGAAAGTCTTTTTAGTGAAAATATATAAATATTATCATTATAAATCTTATTTTGACTGTCGTTACTGCAAACGTGTGGCCTCTCAGGACTTTGGATATTTAAATATATATGGCAACAATTTTTCCTATTTTACGCTAAATTTTTGCTAGAAATGAGCACTTTTATTTTTGTTAATGAAATAATACAAATTATAATCATATTACCAATTATCATGTTTACATTATAAAAGGAAAACTTTTAAATACTACGAAAATGTCAAATATTAAATCTATCCAAACGGATACCTGCTTGAAAAGGAACGCTACAATCTTTCGAATTAAACTCATTCATGTTATTCCAGTAATCTTTTCACTAAATAAACTCTTAGCTCAGACAGCTCATCTAACATCTCGTTAAGTTAGAAGAAGCATAAACTCAAATCAAACTTTAAGCATCTTCATCGGAGATGCCTCTCTTCTAAGAATACATGAAGAGAATTGGACCGTTTGAAATACAATTCATAAATTCTTGGTCAATGGCTCACTGACAATAGCAAAAGCAATAATTTAAATTCGGAGGTTATTTGCTGATTATTGAATGGAAATTTCAATTTCATTATCTGCTTCAGGTAATGGACAAAAAGAATGAAACATACTACGACAAACAAAGACATCTTGCAAACTCAACATAGCTATGAGTTCCATGGAAAAAATCAAGACACAATAATTCATTTGGTGATATTTTGACTCTATAAATTGTCTCCTGGGAAATGTTAACAACAAATGCAATATAAAGAATCTAGGTCCGAATGAAAATTAAAAAACAAATTACTTTAAAATCGGTTTTAATTTATAAAATAAACTAAGACATAACAAGTAAATTTAATGTACTTCATAAAACCTCTAAACATCCATGTTTGAAGTTCAGAAGTTAGTTGTTTGAAAGTAGTGCAATTTTTTATGATATAATTTAGTTTATATTGCAATAAGTGTTCATTGTCCTTCGCCTAAAATTTAAAAATTTAACCTAAAAAATTCGTATCTTTGCAAAATATATAAGATCAATGCAGATCACGATTCTGAGAAATAAACCAAATAATTTCTCCTTCAGCGTTTCAGTTTAAAATTAAGATTTATTTTTTAGAGATGATTTCTTATCTGTAGCTTGATCAAAAATGATTACGCGACTACAAATAATCATCCAAGTTAGTCAGCTTAAATTTCAATTGAAAAAAACTTTTACTTTGTTATTTGTAACTAACTCAAAATCCTAAAGTCGCCTTAAATCGTTGATGGATATCAGTGGCATACAAAACATGAGGACCTAGAGGGACATTATGAAACATGTACGTTTGGGGATAATTTATAACATGAAATCATTAGTACGTAACAATTAATGATTTCTAAACTATAATTATCACAACACATAAATTTTATAGGGGTTGCTCCTTATACTACATTGGTGAAATCAGTTTAAATTGGCTTATAACTATTTGAAGCAAACAATGTGTAAAATGCTGTTTTCACATGGTGTGGAGACTTTCATGTTGCTAACCATGGTGTGGAGACTTTCATGTTGCTAACCATGGTGTGGAGACTTATATGTTGTTGACTATGGTGTGGATACTTGCATTGTGCCAACCATGGTGTAGAAGAAACTTGCATTGTGCCAACCATGGTGTAGAAACTTACATTGTGCCAACCATGGTGTAGAAACTTACATTGTGCCAACCATGGTGTAGAAACTTACATTGTGCCAACCATGGTGTAGAAACTTACATTGTGCCAACCATGGTGTAGAAATTTACATGGTGTTAATCATGATGTATAGACTTGCATTGTGCCAACCATGGAAGTTTGAGATTTACATGGGTTTTAAGAAAGGTAAGTCCGTCCAAATAACTTAGCTTTCCTTCACCTGTGGTATTAACGATTTCAGAAAGTTTACCAAATTGTTGATTTTCAACAAAATATAAGAAGGTGATGTTTTGCAATTCTTAAAATTCTTCAATTGGCAGTTCCTACGTATCTTCGTTTCCAATTCACAAAATAATGTAAACAATATGCTTCGAACAATGGACTCTATCTTCTCAGGCTTTTGAACATCTTTAGTGTCGTTGTGATTTGTCGCTGTCATATTTTCTAATCTTATTGCGTCTTCATTCTTATAAGATGCTCCTTTTCGTGGAGAGGTATTGTCTGCTAGCCTTTCGTAAGAACCAGCATCTTTTAATTTCTGTGTTGATGGTTCAACAGCAACCTCAGGTAAAGGAACTGTAGGTGCCGTGTATGCATCTGTGGGAGGGTAGGTAATGGTGCATTGGAGTCATAGCTAAAATGAACATAATATATTGTTAAAGTTAACTATAGAGTAAATATTCTTCAATAAAACATGCTTACGTTGTAAATAGTAAGAGAACTGTACATAAAGAGAGTACTAACCCATGTAATTTATTGGAAATGAGCAATGGTTGTAAGTAATAGTCAGATTTTTTTTCCAATAATTCATCTTTCTCCCTTGCTGCCTCAATCTCCTCAGCACTTGCTTCAATGTGTAAATATGGATTCGTCTAAAAATGATGAAATAACATTGAAAACAGGGACTGTGTTATAAAGGCAGTATGGTAAATGGCTGACCAAAGACATTGTATAAACAGCAATGTTCACTAGAGAATACAATCAAGAATTGCAAACATATGCAGGTTCACTTGAGCACAAGAATCAAATGAATTCAGGGTAAGGGGAAGTATCTTCAATTATTGTAACGTATACTTAAGTAATATTAAATAGCGCAGATTATGTCGACATAAAAGAACTAGATTTTTCAATTTCCATCTTAAACTGTTTTAGCATGTATATTTAGACACAACTAATTTACTGAGAAGTCAATGATGAAATCCATGATGGTGAAATAAATTTCAATTCAATTGAAGTTAGAACCATACCTTTTCCAAATGTCGTTCCAATATTCTTCCAAAATGCTCTACCAAATTGGAAAATGTTGGTCTATTTTGTGGTTGTTCCTGCCAACAATCTCTCATGATTGTATAGATTTCCAACGGACATTTAGTGGGTTGTGGCATACGTTTTCCTTGGTTTAAAAAATCCAGCAATTGTTCAGCTGGTAGATCAGGATAAGGCGTACCTCCAAGAGTCATCATCTCCCACAGTAGAACACCGAAGGACCAACTAAAGTTAGTAAACAAAATGTGTCAATTAACATACGTTAGGAATAAATGGAATAAAAAACATTCTATGAATAAAGTTGAGAAAACCTGCATGTCAAAATAACATATTTATAACTTACACATCACTTTGATGAGTATATACGCGATAAATAAAGATTCTACAGCCATCCATTTTACAGGTAACATACCACTGGATGTCTTTACATAAACATCGCTTTTATATATATCTCGTGCCAGACCAAAATCTGATATTTTCATGACGTATTCTTCAGCAACAAGAATGTTACGGGCAGCAAGATCACGATGTATTAACTGAAAATAATTAAAGATCATAAATCTTCTATCAATGTTCTAGTTTTTAATACAAACTATTGTGAAAGCAATGAGCGTTAGTTACTTATGAATAGTTATTATAGGATTAGAAATTGTTTTTAAATTCATAAACTTCATGTAAGATCTGTTAAAAAATGTATTTTATAAAATGTTTACGTGATAATTTTTACCTTTCGTGAAGCAAGAAACTCCATTCCTTTGGCAATTTGAAAAGCAGCACCAACAATATCAATTAAAGTAAACTCTTTCTCTGGATCACAAATTTTCTTTTCCCAGGTGCTTTCATAAAAAGATCTTTTGGATCTTAAAAATGTCAGCAAGTTTCCATGAGGACAAAATTCCAAGATTACATAAAGTTGCCGTCCCTTGGTACAAGCGCCGAGTAAATTAACGATATTTTTATTTTCACCAATGTGAATCATTAGTTTCAGTTCCTCTGCTAAATCACGTATTTCGCTTTCTGTTGCATGAGCTACAGGAAGAACAAAGTTTTTTTCAAAAGAGAACAACAAAAACTCAAGATTTGTAAAATGATATGTAAGTTTCCTTAAAAGAAAGTTTTACCTTTAACAGTTTTTACAGCAACAATGGCATTGGTTGAATTAGGCTGTAAATGGTCTTTCTTTTTAGGTCTTTGACTTGCCCTTAAAGTACGACGTATTTTCGATCTTCTCTTACCAACAATGCTGCTTTTATCGCGAGGATTTAAAGCTAAAATTCCCATTGCTTCAGCTTTGTAAACTTCTCCAAAGGCTCCTGCACCAAGACGATCACCCATAACGAGTCTTTCAAAAGGAAATTCCCAATCAGAGTCGTACGGTAAATTCATACTTTGCTCATTAAGCGTTATACTGGGGTCGATCTGAAACAAAGTCAGAAGAAAACACAATGAAACGAGCTTACCGTTAAACTAAAAAAGAAAAAAAGTTGCAACATTTGTTACAGTGCGTGTATGTAAAAACAGATGCTTGTAAAAGACGACTGACGTGTAAAAACTCACTGAATAATTTCCAGTACGTAGAAAATACTGATGTTTGTAGAATGATAATTTTTGTTTTTGTTTTCTATAGAGAACAATGATGATAATTAATATGATGACTATGGAAACACCAATAACTATCCCTGCAATGGTTCCTGGTGATGTACCATCGTCGTTTTGGATCGTCGGTGTAGGATCTACACAAAAAACAGAAGACGTTAAAAATATTTAGGTATGTGCATGGCCCATGTTCTGTCTAGGAGTTTGAAAAACGCATTCTAAATCAATGATTTTAATGCGGCTGGAACTACTAAATTTGAGACAAAGGTGCTAATTGTAAAATTCATATTCTAATACAAAACTTCGCCGCATGAAGAAAAATATTCATAAGTGCAAAAGTCAATATAAAACATCCTTAAATGAAAATCTGCAAATCCTGCTAAATCATAAAATAATATCTCCAACCAACCTTGAGGTCGAAGTCTTAGTGACAACAAACGCTTCTCTGTAATACCAAACGAGTTCCATGCCTTACAAGAATAATTTCCGATGTAAGATTTATTCATTTTTTCAACTGTCAAAACTATTTCCTTCTTTGCTATAGCTGTGAGCTTCACATCACTATCGATAGAAATCCATTGTACCCAAGGTATAGGATTACCGCTTGCTACACAACTAAACGTTTTCTTTTCATTGGCAAAAGACTTTCATCTATTAAAGTTGATGGTTCGTGTAAACATTGTAAACAGTGTAAACATTGTCAACCAATCAGTAACACTAAGATAAACAGTTGCTGTGACGTTTCCTAACTGGTTTTTTGCAAAGCATGTGTAGTTTCCCGAATGTGAAATATCAACGCCACAAATAATAAGAGTTGTTCCATCATTCTTCAAGTAATAGTTAGGAACTTACGTTTTACAATTTGTGATTATAACACGACCAATTTCTTCACCATTTCTTGACCATGTTACTTTGGGTCGAGGATTACCTGACACATTACAAATCAACTCTGCGTCTTTATCTTTATCTTTATTCACTGTAGAATCTCTTCATCTGATAAATTACAGGAGGATATATTCCTGTAGAATAGTAAAAGAAACAAAATTGTTTGAATTACAAGCAGCATGGATGTGATTTGCAAACAAACAATTACTGTAGGTAGCCAAACACATCGACATTTTCTATCAAACCTACGTAAGGAAGAGCTAGTCGTACTTATTGTGAACGTTTTAACTACAAAGTATAATTTATATATAATCGTTTAAGATAATCGTTCGTTAAAATTTCAACTCAATGTTTTACAAAATTATTAAGTCTTACTTTCGTTTTAAAAGGTCAACTGTCATACTGTATTTATATCGCAATCAAAGAAAACCTATGCAAAAGATACATAAGTGGTTACTGAATAACCTTTCAAAGTCAAAGAAAAATAATATCAAAATTTCACACGTTTAGATAGTTCATGCTAAGATAAAAGTATGTTCCTTGTGTTAAACAGCGAGAATTCGCAATATTTTTACGAACTTTTTTATGTTTTGGTGATAAAATTTCAAAGCAACTAACCTCGTACATTCAACGTTACAGCAGCATATTCATTACTGAGAGCATTTTTTTCACTACATCTGTAAGTTCCAGAATCATTGATGTTGATATTTCGTATTTTCATTGTAACATTACGATATTGAGGATTTCTACTTATGGTGATGTTTGTTCTTTCATTATTTATCACTTCACGACCAGGATTTTGTTTGTAAAACGCAATATTAGCACGAATCGAAACATCTACTCTGCAAATTACCATAAAGTCCTCGTTTTCATTTAAAATTACATCCCCAGAAGGAAAAACATTAAAGGATCATCTCCTAAAGAAAGAAACGAAACGTTTCACCATCAATCAATGTAATAATAATAAACAATATTTACCATGTAAACAAAAAGAAAATCTTACCGAATCGCATAAACCTAAACATTCTACTGTCATTTCCATGAATGTTTTGAGCAAAACATCTGAACAACATTGAAGCTTGTTTAGCAGTCGCGGGTATCTTTAAAACACTTTCATATTGTAGTTTGTGTTTTCCTTTTTTAAACGAAGACTTATACTGTGAAGAGATCCAGTTATTCGAGACAGGTTCATTGTTGCTAACAATCTGTTGATCCCAAGTTATATTTGGTCTTGGAATAGACCATCTTATCATACATTTAATCTCGCCTTCAGTGTTGTGTCGTGCTGTAAAATATTCACTATTTCTTCTGCTGATGGATGGTGGCACTGAAAAAATTGGTAACATGAATCAACTCATTACTAATAAGAAAAACCCACTTAGGTTTTGCAAAATGTGGGTTTAGCTAAGAGGGTTTAGCAAAGTTTTACAAAATGATCATCACTGACCACAACTGAATGTTTATGACACAGACGTTTATGAACCATACAGATTATGCATAATACAAGAGGCTGCATTGCTGAAGAATTAGGAGGATGCAGAGTTGGGGGGTAGGGGCGGGTGTGGCAAATTTAGGTCCCGCATGTATCGCTTAGTAAACACGAAGGACCCAAATAAACTTTTGCCATCTGTTTCGAGTTTCGGATTTTTTTCCAATCTCGAGTGTAAGTGTTTTCTTGTTTTTTCTTTTGTCTTAAAATCAAGAAATTTTATCAATTTAAAGAGTTAGTATATATCTGTTACATAATAATTATGTGTTTTTTATGGCCTCCGTATTCTTTATATGTTTTCATTAAACTATAAGCGATGAAAACATATGTCGTTCTTCCGTATTCTTCTGTTTTTACAACTCCATTTTTACGGTATAAATGGTAAATATATGTTTTTTGAAGTCTATTAGCAGTTGAATTAAAACGAAAAAAGCTTTTTTATCAAGCAACACTCACGACTTGACAAGAGACCAAATTTAAATAGCCAATTTGTTTTTCAAAGGCCAATGAAATTTAAAAAGGCCAAAATCGAGTTCATAACCTGTCTCAAAAATACCAAACATACAACACAAAGTTGCAACTGAAATTGTTAAGTAATGATAGCATAATATAATAATAGTTGCTGAACGTATGTCAAAATTGATCATGCATGTTTTGCATAAACAAATAGGTGGATACTGTGCAGTTGCATCCGATCCGGATGTGGTCAATACACATATTATACATGTGGTGATGCACTAGGTACTTCCAAAGCAGACGGCATATTACTATAAACAGGTGTTTCTCAAGGCAGTACCCTAGCCCAGAGCCGAAACTAAAACGTTAATTGGGGGTGAATATTTACATATTCAGCACTGCCGGAATTTCAAAAATATTCAATATAAATTTGAAATTTAAAACATCTCTATTAGTAAGACATGCTCTTAACTGCATAACAAATTAGTAATACAGTGGTGGAAAGACTATAGCATTTCATTTACTCACGGATTTCAAGACGAAGCTGAGGACAAAGCAACAAAACAGAATATGAGACTAAAGTAGCTGAGCGCAATCATGTTCATCTAGCTTCACTTTAGTAAGAAATAACCGAGAATTGCTGCGTTAACTTTAAGGAGACCACGCCAATGCTTTAGTTGTAATGTTTGCTTAAAAAATATAACAATTGCGAAATGATCACAATTTTGAGCTGATAAAATTTGTTTGTAACAAAACGATAATTTCAACTATAATTGAGCTAAAGCTACATTTTACTATGATTTTACGAATGAACTTCGACTTCTTACATTGAAATTTTGTACTCGCATTCCTAGTTCAACTTAAATTGATGAATTCATTTTTCAGGTAGATCAACGTTTTGACATGCATGACATAATTCAACTTTATATTGAAGTCAAAACGATGTCTAGTGTGCTTATCGGGACTCCTCTTCTTTATGTAATTAAAATTCCAAAGTAATATGAGTGCATAATTGACGAAAAACCGCGAGTTGTATCTTTCCCAAACAACTTATTCTATATATATGATCGATATGTTCATACCAATTTCCAAACATGGTTATACTTACTTCCAACGTTAATACGAACATAGCATGTTGAAGTTTTTCCACCATACAGAAAGTGCTTGTACGGAATTTCGTGCTGTCCTATTGAGAACGACTGTGGAGAACTAATGTTCGGCTTTTCCTCTCCTTCTTTTATGTATTTATGAGGACAAGTGAAGTTTTCCGGTTCACTCCAAGATATATTTGCCACTCGTTTCACACGAATTGTTTTGATCCCTTTGCTCACGACATTTTTTGCACACCAACATTTACCTGAAAAATTTTATTTAATAAATAAAAATAGACATGCAGGGTCGTATTACTATATGTAGCAGGAGAGTGATGTATAACAAAGTCATTCGATCTGCATAAGAAACAGACCATGACAAGCTACATCCATTAACGATGAACGTAGCCACGGAATAAAACTGAAAAACAGTTTAATTTCTATTTTTTAGACTAAAAAGCCAACGACTTAATCATTTGATCTTGCTAAACTTGACTCTTTAGTGAGGAAATCCATGTTTCTGATACAGCAATGTTACCAATGTACGTAGGTCTGCAGTTTTGCATACGCAATAGATATGTAAAAAAATACAAGTATACCTTTTTCTACCTTAGGCTTTTGCAAATTAACTCTTCTTCAACAGTAAACTTTTTTATGAAAATACGTATGTAAAGGCAAATGTAAAATATATAGATTACCTTCAAGTGGACAAAATTCACTGAACATCCTGAATCGTTCCAAAGATAATTTTTCTCTTCGATGCAACCATTAGTTAAAGACAAATTTCCGCACCTTTCTTCCGATTGATTTTTTTCTTGAACAAACACATTCCATTTATGTTCACAAAATTCAAACTTTTTGTTCCATCCCCATTTAACGGCACATTTAAGAGTCACGGCCAGCATCAACCACAAGATGACAACAAAACGCATCATTTTTTATCCTTAAAACTGCAATTGTATGAAAAATCATAGCTGCACAAGTTCGATGATAGAACACTGAAAACATACAACTATTATTATCGTAAATATCAAAATATCGAAGCATTTGGTTTATATTTGGTTTATCTGTTTTTTATTTGCTGATAGACGAAAACTTTAAATGCAAACCGCAACGCAGAAATTATATACGTCACTCCATACACATCTCCTTGTATCTCTCTTACAAGCGTGGAAATTAAGCCTCTTTTTTAGAATTTATTGGTTTTACAGCACACACAAAAGTGGATTAGGAAATTGTTCTTGGAAATGAATAAGAAATTTGGGTAGTAAACATTTTGGTAATGAATCATATCTTCGTCATGAATTTTTTTGCTGTAGATCATGTTTGTTTATGCATACAGTATCATCTATTATATGGTAGGAAAAATATCAAAAAATTGATGTTGTTATTTATTTTTTTTATAAGTCGTCCGCCGTGTCTTTTAACGAGGGACAACATGAAGAAAATTAACCAGTCAGCTTAAAGCTTTTTTTTATACTTTGCTTACTAAATATTTATCTATTTCTAAATCTTATGTATGAATAGGAGTAACAAAACATATTTTCTAAATTTTAGATAGAAACGGAGTTTTTTTTCATAAACGTTTTAAAACTGTTTATTCCGTCGAAAAATTACGAATACAAATATCTAATTACAAAAACAAAAAAGTAGCACGGATCTGCTGATAACAACTGAAGTAGAATTACATTTGCCTATGCTTTAATCTTAAGTTTGATCATAAAATGTTCTGTCCTTATAAGAAACAAGCCCAAATAATGTCTTCTAGGTGAATGATTCTCTTTAAACGACTGCACCCTTACATTCTTTCATTGTTTACAAAAATCCATGTCGATGTTGCCTTCGTAGCTTCAAGCAAAACGTAAGATGCAGAAACAGAATATAGAGCTTATAGCAATTTAACCATCATGAATTTCAATGCTACAGCATTAATGTTTCATCTAAACTGGAAATCTAATCATAAATTATCATATCTTAATATCTACTTACCTTTTGTCTTCAGACAATTTCCCAACGATAATGAAGCCAATTTAACGATTAGGTGATACACCAATAATCATTAAACATTTAACATACACGACAAATTTCTTTATAGAGCAATTATGTTTAGGCATACTTTATGAGTATTGTGCTCCTACGAAATTATACACCAATAATGTTGAAAAGCAAGCGTTCAATATTAATCTTGCAGCATGTGCTTCCATCTGTTCCGTTGATATGTCCATTGCAATTCAATTTTAGTAAAATATTTCTCAACTAATAAAGGAGAATTTTACAAATATGATCCACGATGTGTAACTTTTATAGTTTTCACATTTTCTCAATCACCTATAACTTGATGAAATGTTACAAGTATAGAAAAATTTTCTGTCCTCTATTCAAAATTTTACCTATATTGGTTTTGCGACCCCTCCTCCAACAAAAATTGACAGCGCGCCATTGCACCATATGCTTGCCCTAGTGATGAATGATAGCTTCTACAATAAACGATAAGAGCACAATGGAGAAAGTCTTTTAGTGAAAATATATAAATATTATCATTATAAATCTTATTTTGACTGTCGTTACTGCAAACGTGTGCCTCTCAGGACTTTGGATATTTAAATATATATGGCAACAATTTTTCCTATTTTACGCTAAATTTTGCTAGAAATGAGCACTTTTATTTTTGTTAATGAAATAATACAAATCATAATCATATTACCAATTATCATGTTTACATTATAAAAGGAAAACTTTTAAATACTACGAAAATGTCAAATATTAAATCTATCCAAACGGATACCTGCTTGAAAAGGAACGCTACAATCTTTCGAATTAAACTCATTCATGTTATTCCAGTAATCTTTTCACTAAATAAACTCTTAGCTCAGACAACTCATCTAACATCTCGTTAAGTTAGAAGAAGCATAAACTCAAATCAAACTTTAAGCATCTTCATCGGAGATGCCTCTCTTCTAAGAATACATGAAGAGAATTGGACCGTTTGAAATACAATTCATAAATTCTTGGTCAATGGCTCACTGACAATAGCAAAAGCAATAATTTAAATTCGGAGGTTATTTGCTGATTATTGAATGGAAATTTCAATTTCATTATCTGCTTCAGGTAATGGACAAAAAGAATGAAACATACTACGACAAACAAAGACATCTTGCAAACTCAACATAGCTATGAGTTCCATGGAAAAATCAAGACACAATAATTCATTTGGTGATATTTTGACTCTATAAATTGTCTCCTGGGAAATGTTAACAACAAATGCAATATAAAGAATCTAGGTCCGAATGAAAATTAAAAAACAAATTACTTTAAAATCGGTTTTAATTTATAAAATAAACTAAGACATAACAAGTAAATTTAATGTACTTCATAAAACCTCTAAACATCCATGTTTGAAGTTCAGAAGTTAGTTGTTTGAAAGTAGTGCAATTTTTTATGATATAATTTAGTTTATATTGCAATAAGTGTTCATTGTCCTTCGCCTAAAATTTAAAAATTTAACCTAAAAAATTCGTATCTTTGCAAAATATATAAGATCAATGCAGATCACGATTCTGAGAAATAAACCAAATAATTTCTCCTTCAGCGTTTCAGTTTAAAATTAAGATTTATTTTTTAGAGATGATTTCTTATCTGTAGCTTGATCAAAAATGATTACGCGACTACAAATAATCATCCAAGTTAGTCAGCTTAAATTTCAATCGTTGATGGATATCAGTGGCATACAAAACATGAGGACCTAGAGGGACATTATGAAACATGTACGTTTGGGGATAATTTATAACATGAAATCATTAGTACGTAACAATTAATGATTTCTAAACTATAATTATCACAACACATAAATTTTATAGGGGTTGCTCCTTATACTACATTGGTGAAATCAGTTTAAATTGGCTTATAACTATTTGAAGCAAACAATGTGTAAAATGCTGTTTTCACATGGTGTGGAGACTTTCATGTTGCTAACCATGGTGTGGAGACTTTCATGTTGCTAACCATGGTGTGGAGACTTATATGTTGTTGACTATGGTGTGGATACTTGCATTGTGCCAACCATGGTGTAGAAGAAACTTGCATTGTGCCAACCATGGTGTAGAAACTTACATTGTGCCAACCATGGTGTAGAAACTTACATTGTGCCAACCATGGTGTAGAAACTTACATTGTGCCAACCATGGTGTAGAAACTTACATTGTGCCAACCATGGTGTAGAAATTTACATGGTGTTAATCATGATGTATAGACTTGCATTGTGCCAACCATGGAAGTTTGAGATTTACATGGGTTTTAAGAAAGGTAAGTCCGTCCAAATAACTTAGCTTTCCTTCACCTGTGGTATTAACGATTTCAGAAAGTTTACCAAATTGTTGATTTTCAACAAAATATAAGAAGGTGATGTTTTGCAATTCTTAAAATTCTTCAATTGGCAGTTCCTACGTATCTTCGTTTCCAATTCACAAAATAATGTAAACAATATGCTTCGAACAATGGACTCTATCTTCTCAGGCTTTTGAACATCTTTAGTGTCGTTGTGATTTGTCGCTGTCATATTTTCTAATCTTATTGCGTCTTCATTCTTATAAGATGCTCCTTTTCGTGGAGAGGTATTGTCTGCTAGCCTTTCGTAAGAACCAGCATCTTTTAATTTCTGTGTTGATGGTTCAACAGCAACCTCAGGTAAAGGAACTGTAGGTGCCGTGTATGCATCTGTGGGAGGGGTAGGTAATGGTGCATTGGAGTCATAGCTAAAAATGAACGTAATATATTGTTAAAGTTAACTATACAGTAAATATTCTTCAATAAAAACATGCTTACGTTGTAAATAGTAAGAGAACTGTACATAAAGAGAGTACTAACCCATGTAATTTATTGGAAATGAGCAATGGTTGTAAGTAATAGTCAGATTTTTTTTCCAATAATTCATCTTTCTCCCTTGCTGCCTCAATCTCCTCAGCACTTGCTTCAATGTGTAAATATGGATTCGTCTAAAAATGATGAAATAACATTGAAAACAGGGACTGTGTTATAAAGGCAGTATGGTAAATGGCTGACCAAAGACATTGTATAAACAGCAATGTTCACTAGAGAATACAATCAAGAATTGCAAACATATGCAGGTTCACTTGAGCACAAGAATCAAATGAATTCAGGGTAAGGGGAAGTATCTTCAATTATTGTAACGTATACTTAAGTAATATTAAATAGCGCAGATTATGTCGACATAAAAGAACTAGATTTTCAATTTCCATCTTAAACTGTTTTAGCATGTATATTTAGACACAACTAATTTACTGAGAAGTCAATGATGAAATCCATGATGGTGAAATAAATTTCAATTCAATTGAAGTTAGAACCATACCTTTTCCAAATGTCGTTCCAATATTCTTCCAAAATGCTCTACCAAATTGGAAAATGTTGGTCTATTTTGTGGTTGTTCCTGCCAACAATCTCTCATGATTGTATAGATTTCCAACGGACATTTAGTGGGTTGTGGCATACGTTTTCCTTGGTTTAAAAAATCCAGCAATTGTTCAGCTGGTAGATCAGGATAAGGCGTACCTCCAAGAGTCATCATCTCCCACAGTAGAACACCGAAGGACCAACTAAAGTTAGTAAACAAAATGTGTCAATTAACATACGTTAGGAATAAATGGAATAAAAAACATTCTATGAATAAAGTTGAGAAAACCTGCATGTCAAAATAACATATTTATAACTTACACATCACTTTGATGAGTATATACGCGATAAATAAAGATTCTACAGCCATCCATTTTACAGGTAACATACCACTGGATGTCTTTACATAAACATCGCTTTTATATATATCTCGTGCCAGACCAAAATCTGATATTTTCATGACGTATTCTTCAGCAACAAGAATGTTACGGGCAGCAAGATCACGATGTATTAACTGAAAATAATTAAAGATTATAAATCTTCTATCAATGTTCTAGTTTTAATACAAACTATTGTGAAAGCAATGAGCGTTAGTTACTTATGAATAGTTATTATAGGATTAGAAATTGTTTTAAATTCATAAACTTCATGTAAGATCTGTTAAAAATGTATTTTATAAAATGTTTACGTGATAATTTTTACCTTTCGTGAAGCAAGAAACTCCATTCCTTTGGCAATTTGAAAAGCAGCACCAACAATATCAATTAAAGTAAACTCTTTCTCTGGATCACAAATTTTCTTTTCCCAGGTGCTTTCATAAAAGATCTTTGGATCTTAAAATGTCAGCAAGTTTCCATGAGGACAAAATTCCAAGATTACATAAAGTTGCCGTCCCTTGGTACAAGCGCCGAGTAAATTAACGATATTTTTATTTTCACCAATGTGAATCATTAGTTTCAGTTCCTCTGCTAAATCACGTATTTCGCTTTCTGTTGCATGAGCTACAGGAAGAACAAAGTTTTTTTTTCAAAAGAGAACAACAAAAACTCAAGATTTGTAAAATGATATGTAAGTTTCCTTAAAAGAAAGTTTTACCTTTAACAGTTTTTACAGCAACAATGGCATTGGTTGAATTAGGCTGTAAATGGTCTTTCTTTTTTAGGTCTTTGACTTGCCCTTAAAGTACGACGTATTTTCGATCTTCTCTTACCAACAATGCTGCTTTTATCGCGAGGATTTAAAGCTAAAATTCCCATTGCTTCAGCTTTGTAAACTTCTCCAAAGGCTCCTGCACCAAGACGATCACCCATAACGAGTCTTTCAAAAGGAAATTCCCAATCAGAGTCGTACGGTAAATTCATACTTTGCTCATTAAGCGTTATACTGGGGTCGATCTGAAACAAAGTCAGAAGAAAACACAATGAAACGAGCTTACCGTTAAACTAAAAAAGAAAAAAAGTTGCAACATTTGTTACAGTGCGTGTATGTAAAAACAGATGCTTGTAAAAGACGACTGACGTGTAAAAACTCACTGAATAATTTCCAGTACGTAGAAAATACTGATGTTTGTAGAATGATAATTTTTGTTTTTGTTTTCTATAGAGAACAATGATGATAATTAATATGATGACTATGGAAACACCAATAACTATCCCTGCAATGGTTCCTGGTGATGTACCATCGTCGTTTTGGATCGTCGGTGTAGGATCTACACAAAAAACAGAAGACGTTAAAAATATTTAGGTATGTGCATGGCCCATGTTCTGTCTAGGAGTTTGAAAAACGCATTCTAAATCAATGATTTTAATGCAGCTGGAACTACTAAATTTGAGACAAAGGTGCTAATTGTAAAATTCATATTTTAATACAAAACTTCGCCGCATGAAGAAAAATATTCATAAGTGCAAAAGTCAATATAAAACATCCTTAAATGAAAATCTGCAAATCCTGCTAAATCATAAAATAATATCTCCAACCAACCTTGAGGTCGAAGTCTTAGTGACAACAAACGCTTCTCTGTAATACCAAACGAGTTCCATGCCTTACAAGAATAATTTCCGATGTAAGATTTATTCATTTTTCAACTGTCAAAACTATTTCCTTCTTTGCTATAGCTACGAGCTTCACATCACTATCGATAGAAATCCATTGTACCCAAGGTATAGGATTACCGCTTGCTACACAACTAAACGTTTCTTTTCATTGGCAAAAGACTTTCATCTATTAAAGTTGATGGTTCGTGTAAACATTGTAAACAGTGTAAACATTGTCAACCAATCAGTAACACTAAGATAAACAGTTGCTGTGACGTTTCCTAACTGGTTTTTTGCAAAGCATGTGTAGTTTCCCGAATGTGAAATATCAACGCCACAAATAATAAGAGTTGTTCCATTATTCTTCAAGTAATAGTTAGGAACTTACGTTTTACAATTTGTGATTATAACACGACCAATTTCTTCACCATTTCTTGACCATGTTACTTTGGGTCGAGGATTACCTGACACATTACAAATCAAGTCTGCGTCTTTATCTTTATCTTTATTCACTGTAGAATCTCTCATCTGATAAATTACAGGAGGATATATTCCTGTAGAATAGTAAAGAAACAAAATTGTTTGAATTACAAGCAGCATGGATGTGATTTGCAAACAAACAATTACTGTAGGTAGCCAAACACATCGACATTTTCTATCAAACCTACGTAAGGAAGAGCTAGTCGTACTTATTGTGAACGTTTTTAACTATAAAGTATAATTTATATATAATCGTTTAAGATAATCGTTCGTTAAAATTTCAACTCAATGTTTTACAAAAATTATTAAGTCTTACTTTCGTTTTAAAAGGTCAACTGTCATACTGTATTTATATCGCAATCAAAGAAAACCTATGCAAAAAAGATACATAAGTGGTTACTGAATAACCTTTCAAAGTCAAAGAAAAATAATATCAAAATTTCACACGTTTAGATAGTTCATGCTAAGATAAAAGTATGTTCCTTGTGTTAAACAGCGAGAATTCGCAATATTTTTTACGAACTTTTTTTTATGTTTTTGGTGATAAAAATTTCAAAGCAACTAACCTCGTACATTCAACGTTACAGCAGCATATTCATTACTGAGAGCATTTTTTTCACTACATCTGTAAGTTCCAGAATCAATGATGTTGATATTTCGTATTTTCATTGTAACACTACGATATTGAGGATTTCTACTTATGGTGATGTTTGTTCTTTCATTATTTATCACTTCACGACCAGGATTTTGTTTGTAAAACGCAATATTAGCACGAATCGAAACATCTACTCTGCAAATTACCATAAAGTCCTCGTTTTCATTTAAAATTACATCCCAGAAGGAAAAACATTAAAGGATCATCTCCTAAAGAAAGAAACGAAACGTTTCACCATCAATCAATGTAATAATAATAAACAATATTTACCATGTAAACAAAAGAAAATCTTACCGAATCGCATAAACCTAAACATTCTACTGTCATTTCCATGAATGTTTTGAGCAAAACATCTGAACAACATTGAAGCTTGTTTAGCAGTCGCGGGTATCTTTAAACACTTTCATATTGTAGTTGTGTTTTCCTTTTAAACGAAGACTTATACTGTGAAGAGATCCAGTTATTCGAGACAGGTTCATTGTTGCTAACAATCTGTTGATCCCAAGTTATATTTGGTCTTGGAATAGACCATCTTATCATACATTTAATCTCGCCTTCAGTGTTGTGTCGTGCTGTAAATATTCACTATTTTCTGCTGCTGATGGATGGTGGCACTGAAAAAATTGGTAACATGAATCAACCTATTACTAATAAGAAAACCCACTTAGGTTTTGCAAAATGTGGGTTTAGCTAAGAGGGTTTAGCAAAGTTTTACAAAATGATCATCACTGACCACAACTGAATGTTTATGACACAGACGTTTATGAACCATACAGATTATGCATAATACAAGAGGCTGCATTGCTGAAGAATTAGGAGGATGCAGAGTTGGGGGTAGGGTGGGTGTATGTTTAGGTCCCATCAGTGTATCGCTTAGTAAACACGAAGGACCCAAATAAACTTTTGCCATCTGTTTCTGAGTTTCGGATTTTTTTCCAATCTCGAGTGTAAGTGTTTCTTGTTTTTTTCTTTTGTCTTAAAATCAAGAAATTTTATCAATTTAAAGAGTTAGTATATATCTGTTACATAATAATTATGTGTTTTAATGGCCTGTATTCTTGATCATATGTTTTCATTAAACTATAAGCGATGAAAACATATGTCGTTCTTCCGTATTCTGTTTTTACAACTCCATTTTACGGTATAAAATGGTAAATATATGTTTTTGAAGTCTATTAGCAGTTGAATTAAAACGAAAAAGCTTTTTATCAAGCAACACTCACGACTTGACAAGAGACCAAATTTAAATAGCCAATTTGTTTTGAAAGGCCAATGAAATTTAAAAGGCCAAAATCGAGTTCATAACCTGTCTCAAAATACCAAACATACAACACAAAGTTGCAACTGAAATTGTTAAGTAATGATAGCATAATATAATAATAGTTGCTGAACGTATGTCAAAATTGATCATGCATGTTTTGCATAAACAAATAGGTGGATACTGTGCAGTTGCATCCGATCCGGATGTGGTCAATACACATATTATACATGTGGTGATGCACTAGGTACTTCCAAAGCAGACGGCATATTACTATAAACAGGTGTTTCTCAAGGCAGTACCCAGAGCCGAAACTAAAACGTTAATTGGGGGTGAATATTTACATATTCAGCACTGCCGGAATTTCAAAAATATTCAATATAAATTTGAAATTTAAAACATCTCTATTAGTAAGACATGCTCTTAACTGCATAACAAATTAGTAATACAGTGGTGGAAAGACTATAGCATTTCATTTACTCACGGATTTCAAGACGAAGCTGAGGACAAAGCAACAAAACAGAATATGAGACTAAAGTAGCTGAGCGCAATCATGTTCATCTAGCTTCACTTTAGTAAGAAATAACCGAGAATTGCTGCGTTAACTTTATGAGACCACGCCATGCTTTTAGTTGTAATGTTTGCTTAAAAATATAACAATTGCGAAATGATCACAATTTTGAGCTGATAAAATTTGTTTGTAACAAAACGATAATTTAACTATAATTGAGCTAAAGCTACATTTTACTATGATTTTACGAATGAACTTCGACTTCTTACATTGAAATTTTGTACCGCATTCCTAGTTCAACTTAAATTGATGAATTCATTTTTCAGGTAGATCAACGTTTTGACATGCATGACATAATTCAACTTTATATTGAAGCCAAAACGATGTCTAGTGTGCTTATCGGGACTCTCTCTTTATGTGTAATTAAAATTCCAAAGTATGAGTGCATAATTGACGAAAACCGCGAGTTGTATCTTTCCCAAAACAGTCCTATATATATGATCGATATGTTCATACCAATTTCCAAACATGGTTATACTTACTTCCAACGTTAATACGAACATAGCATGTTGAAGTTTTTCAACCATACAGAAAGTGCTTGTACGGAATTTCGTGCTGTCCTATTGAGAACGACTGTGGAGAACTAATGTTCGGCTTTTTTCTCCTTCTTTTATATGTATTTATGAGGACAAGTGAAGTTTTCCGGTTCACTTAAAGATATATTTGCCACAATTCCACGAATTGTTTTGATCCCTTTGCTCACGACATTTTTTGCACACCAACATTTACCTGAAAAATTTTATTTAATAAATAAAAATAGACATGCAGGGTCGTATTACTATATGTAGCAGGAGAGTGATGTATAACAAAGTCATTCGATCTGCATAAGAAACAGACTATGACAAGCTACATCCATTAACGATGAACGTAGCTACGGAATAAAACTGAAAACAGTTTAATTTCTATTTTTAGACTAAAAAGCCAACGACTTAATCATTTGATCTTGCTAAACTTGTCTTTAGTGAGGAAATCCATGTTTCTGATACAGCATGTTACCAATGTACGTAGGTCTCTGCAGTTTTGCATACGCAATAGATATGTAAAAATACAAGTATACCTTTTTCTACCTTAGGCTTTTGCAAATTAACTCTTCTTCAACAGTAAGTAAACTTTTTATGAAAATACGTATGTAAAGGCAAATGTAAAATATATAGATTACCTTCAAGTGGACAAAATTCACTGAACATCCTGAATCGTTCCAAAAGATAATTTTTCTCTCGATGCAACCATTAGTTAAAGACAAATTTCCGCACCTTTCTTCCGATTGATTTTTTTCCTGAACAAACACATTCCATTTATGTTCACAAAATTCAAACTTTTTGTTCCATCCCCATTTAACGGCACATTTAAGAGTCACGGCCAGCATCAACCACAAGATGACAACAAAACGCATCATTTTTTATCCTTAAAAACTGCAATTGTATGAAAATCATAGCTGCACAAGTTCGATGATAGAACACTGAAATTACAACTATTATTATCGTAAATATCAAAATATCGAAACATTTGGTTTATATTTGGTTTATCTGTTTTATATTTGTTGATAGCGAAAACTTTAAATGCAAACCGCAACGCAGAAATTATATACGTCACTCCATACACATCTCCTTGTATCTCTATACAAGCGTGGAAATTAAGCCTCTTTTAGAATTTATTGGTTTTACAGCACAACAAAGTGGATTAGGAAATTGTTCTTGAAATGAATAAGAAATTTGGTAGTAAACATTTTTGGTAATGAATCATATTCTTCATGAATTTTTTGCTGTAGATCATGTTTGTTTATGCATACAGTATCATCTATTATATAGGAAAAATATCAAAAAATTGATGTTGTTATTTATTTTTTTTATAAGTCGTCCGCCGTGTCTTTTAACGAGGGACAACATGAAGAAAATTAACCAGTCAGCTTAAAGCTTTTTTTTATACTTTGCTTACTAAATATTTATCTATTTCTAAATCTTATGTATGAATAGGAGTAACAAACATATTTTCTAAATTTTAGATAGAAACGAGTTTTTTTCATAAACGTTTTAAAACTGTTTATTCCGTCGAAAATTTCGAATACAAATATCTAATTACAAACAAAAAAGTAGCAATGGATCTGCAAAATAACAACTGAAGTAGAATTACATTTGCCTATGCTTTAATCTTAAGTTTGATCATAAAATGTTCTGTCCTTATAAGAAACAAGCCCAAATAATGTCTTCTAGGTGAATGATTCTCTTTAAACGACTGCACCTTACATTTTTCTCATTGTTTACAAAAATCCATGTCGATGCCTTCAGCTTCAAGCAAAAACGTAAGATGCAGAAACAGAATATAGAGCTTATAGCAATTTAACCATCATGAATTTCAATGCTAAAGCATTAATGTTTCATCTAAACTGGAAATCTAATCATAAATTATCATATCTTAATATCTACTTACCTTTTGTCTCTCAGACAATTTCCCAACGATAATGAAGCTAATTTAACGATTAGGTGATACACCAATAATCATTAAACATTTAACATACACGACAAATTTCTTTATATATAATTATGTTTAGGCATACTTTATGAGTATTGTGCTCCTACGAAATTATACACCAATTATGTTGAAAAGCAAGCGTTCAATATTAATCTTGCAGCATGTGCTTCCATCTGTTCCGTTGATATGTTCATTGCAATTCAATTTTAGAAAGTAACATTTCAACTAATAAAGGAGAATTTTACAAAAAACGATCCACGAGCTTTATATAGTTTTCTAAATTTAATTCGGTAAAGCTCACAAAAAACTAACATGAAACAGAATAAGAGTTTAGCAATTTAACTTATCATGAATTTCTAGTTAAGCAAGCTGCATTAAGCATTTCATCTAAACTGGAAATCTAATCACAAATACTATCTTAATATCTACTTACCTTTTGTTTCAGACAATTTCCCAACGAAACAAAGCCAATTTAACGATTCGGTGATACACTCAATAATCTCATTAAACATTTAAAATACAAGGAAACTTTTAGAGTAAACTATGCTGTAGGTATACTTCTTTATGAGTATTTTGTGTCTGATGAAATTATACACCAATAATATGGTGTTGCTCAATATTAATCTTAGAGCATGTGTTTCCATCTGTTCTGTTGATATAGTTCATTGCAATTCAATTTTAGGTAAATATTTTCAACTAATAAAGGAGAATTTTACAAATATGGATCCACGATGTAACTTTAGTTTTCTACATTTTCTCTCAATCAACACCTATAACTTGATGAAATGTTACAAGTATGAAAATTTTCTGTCCTCTATTCAAAAATTCTTTACCCATATTG